CTTTATTTTTATTTTTTTAATTTACTCCATTCCTTTCCTTTCCAAAAAGCAAATGTGACCTTAATATTCATCTAGTTTTAATATTGTTATAGTGTCTGTAGTAATGACAAGCCCTCTTTTATCTTTGCTTCGTTGCTTTTTTTTTTTTTTTTTTAAGAGTGAACGTTTCAAATCGCTTTTACTTGGAACAATGAAGTGAGCAGCCTGTTGAAAATTGCGATGTCCATGATGTAATTTGAGATCTGTGACTTTGGATAATGCATTCAGATGCTGAATAGCCTTACTTCCACTCATTATTTATTTCAGGATTTTGATTGAGCAGGGGTATATATATACAAATGTACTGTATCTTTTGGAGCATTTTGCAGCTGATTGGTCCTTCTACAAGTTTTGTAGCAGTCGACAGTTGATATGCAATTTTTTGTCGTCAAGATAATTGTAATTTTAAGCTAGAAATAGATCTGTGATTTTGTGAATGAACAGAGTTTTTTCTTTTATATTAATTTTCATATCAATGTAGCAATCTTCGTCTGCACAGTTACAGCAATCTTAAGTGAGAGCACCTTTTTTTGAGTGACCTTAGATCGATGTTCTTGGCTGTCTTGTTTGGAAACCAAGCAACGTCTAATGCAGGGGTTTTCACTGTATCCCATCTCGATAAATGATTGAAATTAGAATTTGTTTCCTGTTTTATCCCATTCTAAAAGTCATTGTCCCATTAGGAATCGAACGAGATCAGGATGTTTTGTTATCCTGATAGAGTAGACAATATGAGAGAAAGATTTGAATTAAAATATTTATTAAAATTTTAAATTATATAATTTATTAAATTTAATTACAACTATAAGCGTATAACTTGAACTGAAATGTATATGGGATATAACACATGATAGCAATTATAAGTGAATTTTAAGTTATAAGAGCAATAATAATAGATAAATAAAAAATATTAAGTAATTGTGTTTTTTCATTAGTTCAGATATGTTAAGTTAGTAATTTTTTTCAAAAATAAAATAAGAGATACAATATAAATAAAAGAATTATTAAATAGATAAATTTAAAAATAAATTATATTAATATCATTATTATATTGTAAAGAAAGAGACTACCTCATGCCTCTTATTCTATGTTATTAAAATTATCAATGTAAAAAGCTTAATTTTAAATAAGAATCGCTCATATTTATAATTAATATAGTTAACACAAATATAAATTATATTAATATAATTTAAATATATATATATATTTTTTTTTTAAAATAAAAAATAATATATATAATATTTAGAATAGAACGAGACATCTTGAGGGCACGCTTACCAAACTCTTTTTTTATCTCATCTTGTCTTGATTTTTTGTGTTTGGACAGACTCGTCCCGATATAATTGGGACAAAATCAAATCGATCAGGATGGATATAAGGTTAAACACCACTAGTCTAACATAATGAATTCAAGATTAATGCTTTTTTCATTAGTAACAAAATTGTAAATATTTTGGCCAAAAAAAAAATTGTAAATATGTTTAGTTCCTACTTTTTTTTTTTAATCTTTGGTAAAAAGTTCCTACTATGATTTTGTCGGTCAATTCTGTTTCAGGGTTGGGAAATAAAGGTAACGGAATTGCGTGTGAGAGGGAGGGGGGGTAAAGATATGACAAAATTGCACAACTCCACCATGTTAATCAGAGGGTAACTGATTCTTTGCATTATTTATCATGGTAAAAAAGATTCAATTATAGTTGAAAATAGTTAATCATAGTAAAGACAGAGAGAGAGAGAGAGAGAGAGAGAGAGAGAGAGAGAGAGACTTAATTTGAGAGTTTATTTTGGTTAATAGAATTGAAGTTATGTAATTAAAAACCCTTACCACATTCTACCATGGCAGAATAAAAACAAACAGGGTTAAGAAAAATCTATCATAATAAAAAAGAAAAGATTAAACTAACATGATAAGGAATTGCTACAGTGATAAAGTTTGAAAGTAAGATTACTTTATCTGTATTGAAATTTAATTTTGTGCCTATAATCTCCTGCAGTGCTTTCTAAAAGTTCAACATGCAACTTTCATGATCTATTGCAATACTTCTTGGTACCCCACGCAATCTAGCAATTTCTTGAATATGCATCTCTACCAACTTTCTTGACAAGTAATTGGCACGAATAAGCAAAAAGTGCGGCAATATCATCACTTTGTTCACTATATTTGAAGTTATACGTTTCCTTATTATGTGAAGTTATAGTCACATGAATTATATCTTGTGCAACTAGATATTATGAACAATTAATAATTATAGATATATATAACTATTAATCCATATAGTTTTAACATATTTTGGTATAAGTTTTATAGTTTTTTCATTGTTCTAGGTTGCTCTAGTTTATCCCATTTGTAATAGTAATCCCTCTATTTTTAAGTATGTTTGTAAGGTTGATGGGATGATGCTAGCAGAGTTAAATATGTTGAACTATGACTAACGTTATTAATTTGTACTCAGGTAAAATTATAATTCAACAAATTAACAGTTGTGTTCACCTCATTTTATTTTATGTTTCAACTTTCAATATGTTGAATTATAATTCTATCTCACTATAAAGATCAACAACATTACTCATAAGTTAGCATATTTAACATTATCAGTGCAATCTCATCATTCTTTTGTTAGTATTCAAAAATTAAGGGATTATTAAAACGGATATGAAGCAGTTAAAAAAAACACTAGGGAAAATAACTATAAAGTCCCTTGCAAGCATTCTAATCACCACAAAGTCCCACCAAATGCATAAACAACTGAGGCATTTGATGTGAATTGACAAACATACCCTTATCTTGAAGAAAAGGGAAGCACTCAAAAAACTTCGACAGTCCCTTCCCCTCCCACCAAGGCAACGCGTCAGTTCGCGATTGGAACTCAATCGACTATAGCAATGTGTTGCTCTTATTCCTGAAAAATTGCACTTGCTTTGTCCAGTAAAAGTTATCTACATAAGTTTGCTCGGAGAAAAAAGGGGAAAAATGGTCACACCCCCACAAATAAGTTAATAAAGAAAACAGTCCCTCTTCCCTCCCTATATCCTTTTCCTTTGAATGGAAGGAGATTTCATTATAAGCAATGCCTTCAAGAGTGCTAACAAGCTTTAGTGTGTTTGGATAAACATTCTAACTGAGGTTAGGGTGTCCCAATCCTTAGTTGGGATGTCAAAAGCTATTTGACAATAAAAAAAAATATGTTTGGATAAAAAAAAAACTATTATTGAATGAGCATTGGGGATTGAACGAGCGTTTTGGCAGAAACTCTACTTGGAGAAGCTGGTTGCGTTGGATGAAATTTTGTAGCGAATATCCAAATTACCCTTACCCTCTCTCCTTGACACACAAGCTCTCTCTCATCTTTGGTTTTGCTTTCTCCCTTACTTCGTCTCTCTCTCTCTCTCTCTCTCTCTCTCTCTCTCTCTCTCTGTCTCATTCCCTCCCTCATCCTCCCCTCACTCTCCTCTCTTCACTTGTCTGTCGTTGACTCTAATATGTTTTTTGGACTCCCTTCGTTTTTTTTTTTTTTTTGCAACACTATCACTGATTTATGCAACAAGGTCTCCGATTAGAAATTCTCCCTTGCTATCGTCCACTGTTCTTGTTATTGCTCGTCAAATATGTGTTCTATGTTGGTTCTGTTTTACCAATTGAGTGGCCAAGCTAATTTTTTTAATTGCATATATAATTTCTTTTAGGAACATTATAGATATGATTTTAATATATATATATATATATATGAGATAAGATTTTGTTTTAGGATAAGATTAGGGAGGATTTTTTTAATATGTCTTTTTTATTTTTTTATTCATAAAAGATAGATTTTTTATCATGAAAAATTATTTTTTGCTTTCTAAAAAAAATACTTTAATTATTTTTTTTCAATAGTTATAAACATAATTTATCATTTCATTCTACCTCTTTAAAATTAAGATTTTTAATTTATAAAGTTAAAGTTAAATATTTTTTTCTAAAAATATTAAACAAATCACAAATATATATATATATATATATATATATCTCATAAAATTCATGTCTTTTTTTCTCATTATACATCTAAACATACTTTTGAATCAAATCATCCAAATGAATTTTAGTTTGTTAAAAAAAAAAGTATCCAAATATAAATCATGTTACAATCACAGACTTTTTTTTCTAATCTCAATTTATTAACATCAGTTGTAAATTTTTTAATCTAAACACACAATTAAAGCCCTAAAGGTATAAATAACAAAATCATCAACAGTGTTCTCTGCTTTCTTTATATCATTATTGCTTGATATCATTAACAGTATAAATAACAAAATCCTTCTATTTTTAATTAAGCTTATAAGGATGATGAAATGACACTAACAGAGTTAAATATATTGAACTCTGACTAATGTTATTAATCTATCCTGAGGTCAAATTATGATTCAACAAATTAACAGTGTTATTCACCCTATTCTGTTTTATGTTTCAAGTTTTAATATGTTAAATCATAATTCCACCACATTAGTCACAAGTCAGCATGATTAACATTTTTTAGTACTAACTTATCATTCTTTTGGGCAAATTCAAAAATTGAGGGATTAGGGTTACATATGAGATAAATTAGAGACCTAAAGTAACAAAAAACACTACAAAGACTTGTACCAAAACACATTAAAACTATAGGAACCAACAATTATGTTTTTCAATATTCATTGTAAATGGGCATTTATAATAGTCGTTGAGAAAAAATTAAGGGAAACTCTTCTCATGTACAAAACGACCATACTTGTATGATTGTATTAATAAGTACCATCATATCTTAAGTGCACCGAACATGGTTAAAATCATCACCATCGCACTCGGATGATCCTTTACAACACTGGTCAAGGATTTCAAGGTATTCTGTTGATACTATTAACAGATTAAGTGCACACAGCGACTAAACCCAAATTATGAGAAATAGTAGGGAAGGATCACCTCTACTAGACGGACGAAACGCATGAGAATAGAAAATTATTTGAGATCCATAACCATTCTGATAACAAGATTTACTATCTATCCATTTTGAAAGCATAAGCTAACAAATTCAGAGCGTCACTGATGTTCAAGCAATGGGAAAATGCACAGCCATGTGCCACCAAGTATGATTTTAATCAAATTCCATTCAGGGAACTACAATTTCTAACTCAAATTCCTCTCCAATAAGAAGAGACAATTCAGAAACTTGAATGATAATAAACTGATTGGAACTCTCATATTGTCCCTTCACAACTGCCTGTTCAGTGTTTGATCCTTTCGAAATGCTCACCTGTTTGGTTTTCCAGCTCCTGCTGTTCAAACTCGTTCCATTAGGTATCCCTAAGAAAATTACTCTATTTATGATCCACCCTTGGTCAAGAGCAAACCTCCCATTTGTGACTTCAGATGAAACAAAAACGCTATTATTTTGTAATGCACCATAAAATTTTACCAGTGTCCACTGTCCTTTCCGTACCCCCATGTGAACTGTGTCCCCATCATCCAAATATACTTGCCCAGAACTGTTTTGGCTGAGACTAACAACAACCAAAAGTTCGAATGGTGTCTTGCGTGCAGCGTCTGTTGTCATGGCTCCACCTTGCAAAGCCAAAATATTCCCTTCATGAACATGAACATTTATGTGATCTGGTGGCGCGTCAAGCCTTACAATCCTTCCTGTTTCGACAGTCACTGAGTTTGACATATTGAAGAGGTCAAACCAACTTCCTTTGGGGAAATAAGCATCGATGGTGATTGCTCCTGGCTTTAGTACAGGCGAAACTATCACTCCTTTACCAAGAAGAAATTGTGAACTTATATCGTAAGTTGTGACATCCTCTGGAAATGAAAAGAAAAGGGGTCGCGAAATTGGGATCCCTTTTACATGCGCTTCATACATTAATGTGTAAAAGTAAGGGAGAAGGCGATAACGAAGACCAAGCACTTTTCTAGCTGATGCAGCAACTGAAGGCCAAATATAAAGCTCTTGATGAATCGTACCTATGCTTGAATGATCCCTTGCAAAGGGGTAAAAGGCTCCTAACTGCACCAGCCAAAAGAATGAAGCTTAGTTATACTCGCATGCGGAAACTTGAAAAGGATTTAAGATCAAAGGCATAATAATTTAATTTTTATGAGATGTAAGAGTTTGACTCCGAAGGCAACTAAATACTGTGAAAATGAAAGAGAAAGAGCATAAAAAATATATGCAAATAGTGAATAAATACTTCTTGACACATTCATAGGCAATGTAATTTACAATGATATCAAAACAGATAGGGCCCCCTATAGCATTAATGGAGAGCTACATTATCAAGAAAATATCTATTAAGTGTTACCAGGCTCAATAGATACAATCATTCATTCAAAGATAACCACATTTTTCTTGCAAAATAAAAAAAAAAAAAGAAAGAAAGAAAGAAAGAAAGAGATGAGGCAACGAAAATAATTATTCCTTATAGTGGAGAGACAATACTCCAGCAGATGAATGACAAAACATTCCTTTTTTTTCTTTTTCCGTCACTTGAATAAAATATCATTCAAAGAATAACAAAATGATGAAAAATCAATGTCATTTAGCCTAGAAATTCTACCTGGATCCAACGCCGACAAAGTTCTTCAGTTGTATTTCCTGAGAAGCCACATATATCTGCTCCAACCATTGGGATTCCATAGATTCCGAAATTTAAGATGGACGGTATTGAATATGCCAAATCATTCCATGTAGCAGCATTATCTCCTGTCCAGTGGGCTGTATACTTGCCTGAGCTTACAAAAGTTGATCTACTAAGAATGAATGGCCTTCTACCAATTGCATCAATTAAGGCCTTGTGTGTCACTTTGCACTCCATGAGTCCATAAAAGTTGTGCGCATCATACTCGGTGATGTTACCGTAGTGTAAACATGTTGCTGGAATTGTCTTATTATTTATAGGTCGTCGAATTCCAGCATTATTGATCTTGTAAGGAGGGTTATCAAGGTTAGAAAATGGAATGGGGGGTGAAGTGATGAAATTGGATACCTCATTCATGTCAAGCCAAAGGCCGTCAAAAGGAAGAAGGTTATGAAATAATTTGATTTCCCCACCCCAAAATGTTTGACTGAGTGGATTTAAAAAGTCAGGGAAGTAAACTAGCCCAGGCCAAACTTCACCCAAATAATTGATTCCACTACGCTTTATGTATATATCATCCTGCAAACCTCTAATAAATGTTTCATATGTCTTGTTTACACTGATACCTGTTTATAAATTTACCTTGGATTAATAATGTACAAAAATACTTCCACAAAAATGAAAAAGAGTAATTTTTTGCTAAAAAAAAAAAAAAAAACTGTCTAGTTCTAAAAGGAAAGTACCTGGATCCAAAATGAGAACATATTTCTGACCATTCTGGTGAAGAGCGTTAACAAACTTTCTCATCTTATCTAGTGGAAAGTTGATGGGATCAAGTGTAAAATCCTTATACCCATCCATGTAATCAATATCTGTCCACATTACTTCGAGGCGAATGCCTGCTTTTGCATAATTAGCAACGACATACTCAAGCTCACCTACATTCTTGTAGCCATAACGACATTGATGAAAGCCTTCACCAAAGATGTCATAACCATTAGGATTAGCAAAGAAAGTACTATGATAAATAAACAGACAACTTTAATTCACATGCAAACTCCTAATCTCAGCCTAGTGTATGGTCTTGCTATCTTTCAAAATCCTTTCTAGGACACGAGAAAACCATATATAGCCTTGCTATCTTCTTTGCCTATATTTATAAAATCCCATATAAAAGAAAAAAAATAAATACTTTTTTGGTTTATGTCCTTAGAGTTTTTATATTTTTTCTTCTACCTTGTGTGATGTAATACAAATAAGGTACTATAAATTCAAACTACAGAAAATTTTAACCGGTTCTAATCAGCATATACGTTATATTCATATTTCCTGAAGGTTACTTAATAAGCATAGCGACTGACAAGAACACAATACGAGGACAAAAACAAAGCACAGAACATGATTATAATATTCTTAAAAAAAAAAAAAACTGCACCATGTTTAATGCAGGATAAGGATACAACTTCATATAGTATAAAAAAACACGCAATCCAGAAAATATAATTAATAAATCATCATATAGTTTTATCACTTACCAAAGGACCAATATGGCATTGGAACAGGGCGGCCAATGAGCTCAGTGTACTGCTCCATCACCAGCTCCGGCGTGGGTCCAGCAAAAAAGTAAAGATCAAGAATCCCTCCGATGACCTTGTAAGTGATACGATCACCATCATAGATTATGTCCATTCCATTACTGTTGAGCAGCAAAACCCCATGAGTTGTCCCAGCCTTGACTCTTCCAACAGCAGAAGGAGAACGAACATCCATGTAAAACGGGTGAGACCCATAAAGGTTTTGATCGAGATTGGAGCTAGCAATGTCAGCATTCCACAATGTAAGGATCTGATTGGGTTGGATCTTGAAGGAACTTCTGGTGTGCTCTCCAAGACCGTACAAAGAGGCCCTATTTTTGGGTAACGATGAAGAGAGTTGAAGGTACTGGTCTTTGAAGATGAGAAACGTCGATGAGTTTTCTGGGTTTGGGGATGCGTCGAAGATGACGTCGTTTGAGGATTTGCGAGTGACCGTGAATCCAAATGGGGTGGTGTTGTGGAGGGTGAAGATTAGGTCTGAGTTAGGATGAATCAAGGAAAGTTGTGATTGTGAGCGATGTCGGTTGAGGCGGGAAGACAGATTTTGAACAGAGAGAGAACGGTGAGGGAAAAAGGAACGACGAGAAATCACTTCTTTTGGGATTTCCCATCTTTGCTTCGCTGCGTCGGTGATCCTTACTCTGACGTAATCTTTGCTCTCAAAACTGCAGAAAAGAACATTGCATGTGTAGTAGTATGAAAGTGCAACCGAACCCAACCAAATAAACACAAAAAAAAAAATATATATATATATATATATCTTTATTTCCGCACGTACTCCTTTGTTTTCTTCTTCACTCCCTCCCAACTGACTCCTTTATTTTTAAATAAAAAAATAATTAAATCATGCAATTTAATAAAATTAGTGAAATATAATAATTATGTTAAAAATTGAAAAATTTAAATTAAATTATTCTTATAATTAATAAAAATATTATCTAATAAAAATAAACAATAATGTTATGAAGGATAATTTAAAAAAAATGTGATAAATACTTTTTAAAATATGTAATTTATTTATAAATAAAAAAATTAAGATATAAATCTACTCTCAAAATTTGCACACAATGTCACGTGATATTTTCAAGTTTTTTTTTATACAATATCATCCTAACCTTTTTATTGAAATGATATAATATCATCCTCTGTCGATATTAATGCAAATATTTGACCATCAGTTTGACTGTAAAATGTCGAAGTGGCATGTCACATGTCAAATAGGCTCACCTATTAATGCCACCTAATCATCTTCTCTCCTCTGCCCCACTTCCACTTCGTCCGAAAGCCATATCCTCTTCTCCATCCATCTTCCTCTGTCTTTCTTCTCTCTCTCCTTGGCTTCATCACCATCTTCACTTCAACTTGGTCGTTCTTTGACCATGGAAGGCGAATCAGTTAGCGATAATGCCACCCTCATCAATACATTATGCGAGATTGCTTCTTCTTCCAAGGGAGAAACCATCTTCTTAGCGCCAATAACAACGCAATTATCTATCCCAACGTTGTTGTGAACAATAACCTTTCGCGCCCAATCTCACCTCTGTGGCTTCATCTTCAGATCCCACTCTTAGGATTTCTTGCCATCATGATCTTGAGAAGTCAAGCAATTACAGTGATAAGGAGTGTGATTGCAAAAACCGAACATGTTGAACATTACATTTACTGAAAACTTCAACAAGTTGTGTGTGTTCTCATCCCTGATGTTGGTGTTGTTAGTGACCGTGGCAGCGATAGTTCTAATCCCCAGTGACTTGGCTGACATTTTAGGAAGGTATAAGGCACCACCTGTAGTTCGCCCAATGTCATCGTGTTTTCCTAAATTTATTGTTGGCTTGCGATTTATTTTGTGTTTTGTCTCATCTAATTGCTGGCTTTGGGATTATTTGGTTTTGTTCTCTGGTGCTTGATTTTGAATTTGATTTTGCTCTTTTCGTGGCCGAGTTCGTTCCTTTGGTTTGATTTCTTAATTTCTCTCGTCCAAAAGTTTTCATTTTCGTTTTTGGATTTTCATTTTTATTTTGTTGGTCTATTCGTTTGGTCGAGCTTCGTTTGCGCTTGCTCCACCACTCTTGCTTTAGCCATAACATTGGTTTAGTAGCTGTGATCAGAATCGAGTAGAAATGGGGAGGAGGAAGAAGACGTGAAATGTGGATAGTGAGACGTGGGACCTACTTAAAAAATTAGGAATTTTTCTTCAAAGAAAAAAAATGATGCAGATGCCATATAAAAATATACGGGTCAACATGGTGAAATTGTCACATCGAGGTGACATTGCACTAAATTAAAAAATATTAAATCAATATTGTGCCACAAAATCTCGAAAATATCATGTGCTCTTGCATGGAAAATTTAAAAATAGATGTATACCTTAATTATAAATAAAAATAAAAATATATTTTTTAAAAAAAATATAAGATATTTTTAATTAAATTTTATTCTTCAATAAAATAATTACTTATTTTTTAATTAACTCTATCTTTTCATATTTACCCCTATTAAACACTCAACAATAAATATAAAGTCATTATTAATAAGGTATTTTTTAAAAAAAGATAATAATTAAATCTTAAAAGATTAAAAATATCTTATATATTTTAACATCCAACTTTTTAAAAAATATCTTATATTTTTTAACAAAGATAATACATGATAGTCCGTTTTATATTTGAAAACAAAAGAAGCAGTAAATATATGAGAAATGACATTTGGGCATAATGAAAATAAAATACTCCAATTATAAAAAAAAATGACAATTATTTTCTGGTTTCTTGATTTGTTTTGTCATTTTGATTTTTTTTTTTTGGGAAAATGACATATCTGCCCATCCTAGATCATGCTTAGCCTAATCTCCTTAAGAATCAGTACCTTCTTATTATTTGTATATTTGAGTATTTTATTTCTATATTACTTATTTAGTCTATTTATAAGTCATCTTTAATATATTTTCACCAAAATTATGAAAAATCTTAAAATATCTTAATTATATGTAAAAATTAAATAAATTTTTAATTTTACTCTTGTTAAATAAATATATATATATATATTAATAATGTCTTTTCCATCATGGAAGGTAAAAAGATAAATTTTTAATAAAAATTTAATAATAAGATTTATAAATAGGATAAAAAATCTTATTTTGCTGCCTTATAAACAACATTAGAGAGAGTAGTAAGTACAAATTAATTATGCAACAGAAATTATAAACTTTAGTTATTAATAAGGTCTCAAGTAGTTTTATAACCTAATGCTAAGTAGCCGGTTGTCAATTCAATCCCACTTATAAACATCAAATCATCAATGCTTGTTCCTCTAATTCAAAAAGAAAGTTATAAATAAAGATAAATTAAAAAATAATTACTCTCAGCTAATTAATGCCTACCTCTCTCTAATTAAAAAAAAGTTATAAAAAAAGTTAAAATTAAAAAAAAAATCAATTTCTCATCCGATTTTTGAAAAAAATGAAGTGGATGGTTGACTTACCTGGCTGCAAGGGAGAGACGAGGAATATCAGGTCCGAAAACAGGGGAGGCCTTGATGAGATCAAGAATGGCAATCAAAGATCTCCGCGACACATCACTGCTCACACTTCCAATGGTGTAGCCATAGCCCACACCTTCTTCTGCTTTCTGCGACGAAGACGAAGAAGAAGAATCTGGTTTCACAGAGCCAACGAATAAGATGAGGCAGAAGAAGACGAAGAAGAAGCTTGCAGAATCCATGGCATCTTCTAATTAAAGTTGCTTTTGTGTGAGTGGTGATGAGTGAATAGCGATGAGGATAGAAAACAATCGACGGCCTATCTACAATATATTTAAATAATGATATATGCAAAAATGTTGGAAGCAACGGAGGAGGTTTTGTCTGCAAGTTGACTGATAGATGAGTGAGAGATCGTATCAGTAGTTATTGCTTATTCAAACCAACAAATATATACATATGGTTTTTATTTTAAAAAGAAAAAAGAAAAAGCTCTTCCGCCTCCCAAAAATAATTTTAAGATTTAAAATTTTATCTAGTGTAAACGTTTTTAGAGCAAAGGGATAAAAGTACTCACAAAATAGTCAGCGACGAGCACCAAGTATCATAAAGTGACGAAAAGGGTAAAAATACCCATAACGTTATATGGATGGGTGCAAAAGTAATCAGATCGTTAACTTTGACTTAATATCGTTAACTTTGACCGTTAAATGCTGACTATACATGCCACGTGTCAGTCTTTACTGACGTAGACTAAAAAAGGGGCAAAAATACTCACGAAGTCATTTGCCAGGAGCAAAAATACTCATAACGTTACCAGAATTAGTGTAAAAGTGATCAATACATCCAATCCCTTAAATATTGACTGTTTAACTGACAACTAAGTAGAAGTTGATTATTTTTCGCTGACGTAGATAAAAAATATTCCTAGATGAAATTCTCTGAAAGTTAATCAGTTATTGCATAACTATCATGTGAGAAAATGTCATTTTGACTAAATATCAAATTAAATTGCTTTTTTTTTTGCAATAGTGGTGAAAATCATTTGAAAATTTTGAATCTATCGTGAATGCAATTGCTTAAGGTTGTGACAATGTTCTTAAGTTAAATATGCTCAGTCTTGATCTTCGATTTTGAACAACCTATCTTACTATGTTAAATCTCAAGTTTTACAGACAAGAAATAGGGAGAAAAGAAAGGAGCGAGATACGTGATGATGGAAAGAAATTATATGGCATTGATTTTAATAAATTGGTCACTATTATATCTATTAAAGTAATATTATAAGTACTCATACAATGATCGATCAACATCCATAAAAATTCATCTAAAAATATTTTTTCTCTACATCAATGAAAGAATAGTCAACTTTTACTTAGTTGTCAAATAAACAGTTAATATTTAATGGATTGGATGTATTGGTCACTTTTGTACCAATTCTAGTAACGTTATGGATATTTTTGCTCATGGCCGATGACTTCGTGGGTATTTTTGCCCCTTTTTTAATCCACATCAGCAAAGACTGACATGTGGCATGCACAATCAGCATTTAACGATCAAAGTTAATGGTGTTAAATCAAAATTAACAGTTTAGTTACTTTTGCACCCATCCATATAATATTATGGGTATTTTTATTTTTTTCGTCACTTTAAAATATTGAGTGTCCATTGTTGATTACTTTATGAATTTTTTTGACTTTTTGCCCATGTTTTTAATTTAGAGTCTTTGACTTGGTTCTCTTTTCAAAATTTTATACACAAGTTTCGTCTTGAAAAACTGTTTTCAAGTAAATGAAAACGTTTGTGTTTAAGTTTTCTTTGAAATCATTGATAATAGCTGGTTTAAGCAGAAGGTTTAATTCTCGTGAAAGAAATACGCATCCATATCTTGGTTTTCACTTTAACAACTGGTCTTTGACCACCCCGAACTATTTCGAAATTTTAATCCTTCTAGTATAGGTGTTTTAAATTTAGAGTCTTCAAATTTAATGTCAAAATTTATATATCAGTAAAGAAAAATGTGTTTAATTATGAATGAAATGAATTAGAGTCAAATCAAAATCACTGCAAAAAAAAATATATTTTATTTTGAATTCTAATGAATTTAGCATGGAAAGTAATACTAGTACCTCAATTATTTTCCCCACTTTTCGTTATGACTTATGAACCTTATATCCAACCATTTAGCGCATTTTTTCCCATTAATAATACATAATAATACGCTTTAAAATTAGGTAGCAGATAATACAACAAAAAGATAATAACAAAATCAGGATTTAAGCAGAACAATACTAAATAAATGGCATTGAACAGAAACAATGCCTGACCCACATTTATTATTATTTATAGTAAAAGATAAGTAGAACATCTAACTCGTCATCCATTATTATTCTTTCTGAAAGCAAAAGAACACAAAATAAGAACCTTATGGTGTAACCTAAAAGTGGATTTTATGGATACAATGCCCTTCAAGGGATCTCATGTTCCACCTTGAATGCCTTTCCAATAGGCAGAGTCAAGTTTGAAACTTCAATAGTAACAAACTGATTGGAACTGTCTAATATCTTCACAACTGCTTTTTCCTCTGTGCTTGCTTCCTTCACAATGCGCAGCTTTTTGTTATCCCAATTCCTAGTGTTCAAAGTCTCATTACCACTAGGTATCCCTACGAAAGTTACTTTATTTATAATCCACTTTTGCTCCAGAGCAAAGCTCCCATTAGTGACTTCAGATGCAACAAAAACACTATTGTTATTGGACAAAGCACCATTGAATCTTACCAGTGTCCAATTTCCATTCCCTCCTCCCATGTCAAGTGACTCTCCATCATCCAAATATACTTGCCCTGAACTGTTTCTGCTGCTACCAACAACAACCAAAAGCTCGAAGGGCGTCTTTCGTGCAGCATCGGTTGTATTGGCTTCACCTTGCATAGCCAAAATGCTACCTTCATGAACATGAACGTTTATGAGATCGGGCGGGGCATCAAGTGTCACATTCTTTCCTGTTTCCACGGTCACTGATGAGTTTGAGATATTGAAGAGGTTGAACCAATTTCCCGCCGGGAAATAAGCTTCGACAGTGGTTGCTCCTGATGTTACAACAGGTGACACCAGCACCCCTTTACCAAGTAAAAATTGTGTGTTTATTTCATAGGTTGCCACATCCTCTGGGAATGAAAAGAAAAGGGGTCGTGCAATGGGTATCCCGCTCACATGTGCTTCGTACATTAATGTGTAGAAGTAAGGGAGAAGGCGATAACGAAGACCAAGCACTTTTTTAGCTGATGCAGCAACTGAATCCCAAAGATAGAGCTCTTGACGATTTGAACTTTTGTCTGAATGATCTCTGGCAAAGGGGTAAAATGCCCCTAACTGCACGAGGACATGATAAGGAAATTAATTGATGAACTTCCACAAGACTGAATAGTTTTACGTTTCATAAATAAAGCCTCTAAATAATGCAGAAGTGACAAAGAAAAAGCCAAGGAAATATATTCACTTTATGAATGAATACTTTTTTGACACATTAACAAGTAATATTGTCTACAATAGAAGCAACTATTCATTGTCAAGAAATATGACTATCGTGCAAGAGAAACAACTATCCATTCCCCCCCCCCCAAAAAAAAAGCGTACTTTCTCTGTAAAAGAACTGAGGCAAGAAAAAATTATTTCAATATGCCATAACAACGATGATACTTCTGCAGATGAACGACATAACATTCTTGTTTTCCTTTTTTCTGCAGTCAAAAATAAAATACCATTTGAAGAACAACAAAATTGCAAATTTTACCTGGATCCAGCGGCGACAAAGTTCTTCGTTTGTACTTCCTTTGAAACCACAGATATCTGCTCCTACCATTGGGATTCCAAAGATTCCAAAATTTAAGATGGATGGTATTGAGTATGCCAAATCATTCCACGAAGCACCATTATCTCCTGTCCAGTGGGCTGCATACTTGCCCGAGCTGACAAAAGTTGATCTACTGAGAATGAATGGCCTTTTCCCAGTTATATTTGTTAAAGCCTTATTAGTTGCTCTGGACTCTAAGAGTCCAAACAAGTTGTGGGCATCATACTCAGTGATGTTTCCATGGTGCAAACATGTTGCTGGAGCAGTCCTCTCATTTATGGATCGACCATTGTTAATCTTGTAAGGAGGGTTGTCAAGATTAGAAGAATCAATGGGAGGTGAAGTGATGAAATTGGCTATCTCATTCATATCAAGCCAAAGACCATCAACAGGAAGAAGGTCAAGAAATGTTTTGATTTCCCCTTCCCAAAATGCATCACTGCGTGGATTAAAAAAGTCAGGGAAGAAAACTTGTCCAGGCCACACTTGACCTAAATAATTGGTTCCATTGCGCTTTATGTAGATATCATCCTTCAAACCTCTTTTGTAGGTTTCATATGTCTCATTTACACCAATACCTGTTGATAAATTTTTCTTAGAATAATAAGATAATGATACATCCACAAACAAAAATAGAGTAACTTTTAATTTAAAAAAACAAAACAAAACGTAGTCTCAAAGGAAAGTACCTGGATCCACGATTACAACATATTTCTGACCATTTTTGTGAAGAGTGTCAACAAAAGTTTTCATCTTATCTAATGGAAAGTTGATGGGATCAAATGTGAAATCCTTATAAGCTTCCATGTAATCAATATCTGTCCACATTACTTCGAGAGGTATGCCTGTCTTTGTATAATTAGCAACGACAAACTCAAGATCACTCACATTCATGTAGCCATAGCGACATTGATGAAAGCCTTCATAAAAAAGGTCATAACCATGTGGGTCAGCATAGATAGTACACTATGGACTAATAAATATATATGCAATTTCAATTTACATTTGACATCTTAATAGTTTTTGTATTTTCTTCTACCTTATGTGTAATACAAATTCCAATTAGCAGTGCTTCTTAATAGGTTGTAATCAGCATGCAAATTGTAAAAGCTGGCATGAACTTGAGATGCAACGTGTTAAATACTAGACAAGAATAAAACTTGTGAAGTGTCTACCTTCGTAGAATATATGACCAAACCAAACATGCATGTGACCAAGCAAGTACAAAATTAAATCTTAATAATCAATCTATTACTTACCAAAGGACCAGTACGGCATCGGAGCAGGGCGGCCAATGAGTTCTGTATACTGCTCCATCACCAACTCCGGCGTGGGTCCGGCGAAAAAGTAAAGGTCAAGAATCCCTCCGATGATTTTGTAGGTGATACGATCACCATCATAGATTATGTCCATTCCATTACTGTTGAGCAGCAAAACCCCATGAGTGGTCCCAGCCTTGACTTGTCCATCAGAAGAGGGAGAACGAACATCCATGTAAAACGGGTGAGACCCATAAAGGTTTTGATTAAGATTGGAGCTAGCAATGTCGGCATTCCACAATGTAAGGGTTTGACTGGGTAGGAGCTTGAAGGTATTCTTCGTGTGCTCTCCAAGACCGTACAAAGAGGACCCGTTTATGGGCAACGAGGAAGAAATCTGAAGGTACTGGTCCTTGAAGACGACAAATGTCGATGAATTTTCAGGGTTTGGAGAAGTGTCGAAAATGGTATTGTTGGAGGATTTGCGAGCGATCGTGAAGCCAAAAGGAGTGGTGTTATGGAGGGTGAAGATGAGGTCTGAGTTGGGATCGGTGACTGAAAATTGTAGTTGTGAGGGAAGCGAAGATAGATTCTGAGGAGAGTGAGATTGACGAGGAATCAATTCTTGAGGGATTTCCCATCTTTGGTTCGAAGCGTCCGTGATTCTCACTCTCAAGCGATCTTGGGTCTCAAAGCTGCGTTCTCATAACAACGCACATGCAAAAAATTAAAAGACAGCACATTACCCTTCTTACCAAAATAAGGTAATATTAGCATGCATGTCATTACATTTTTACTTAATTTTAAATTAGTAGTTCACTACAATTTATATTACTTTAATTGAATTTTTTTAATTTTTAAAAATTGAAATACTTAAATTTTAAAAAAATTCAGAATTTGATATTTTCACTAAATGATTATATAATTTTAGAATTAATTACATGAGGTTTACAGCTCATCGAAACAAAATTTTTAACTGTAACTTTCTGATAGTTAAGTTTAAAATTTTTTAAAAAATAAAAAAATTAACTAACAAGTTCTTCTAATTTTTATTAATTTTGAATTAGGTTTCTATAATTTATTTTATTTTAATCTAATTTTTATAGTTTGATTGACTAAATATACAAGTCCCTTAAGGTTAAAATTATTAATAGATGGTTAACTTTTCCACAAACAAAATAAATTTTAAGATTTATAGAAAAATTGATTTAACACTTTTAGCTAGCAAAAAAAATTGATTCAGTACAATTTGTATATTTTTATTATTTTTTATGAAAATTCTATGTATATAAAAGTTATTTAGAAAATATAATCTAATTGTAAAAATTTTCAATACTACACATTATGTCATTAATTATAGAATTATGCAATATTTTAATAAAAATATAAAATTTTTTAAAATAAAAAATTCAACAATTTTAATACTTAGAGTTAACATATTTAACCAACCAAACTATAAGGTTTTAATTAAAACCAAAGTAAATTATATAGATTTAATTTAAAATTGAAGAAAACCATAACTGCATGCAGAGTAATTTTTCCAAAAATAATTATAAAAAACCCAACTGTTAATCCAGTAAAATTACCTGACAGTAAGGCCAAGATGAGGAATGTCAGGTCCATTAACAGAGGAGGAATTGATGAGATTAAGAGTAGCGCTCAAGGATTTATTTGAGGAATCACTGCTCACATTTTGAACAGTGTAGCCATGGCCAACAGCTTCTCCATCATTTTCTGCATTTCCATGAAAGCTTGACAAAGAAGAAGAATGAGAATGAGATTCAACAGAGCCAGAAAGAATAACACAGATAAAGATGGAGACATAGAGGACAGAGGGAAGTGAAGTCAAAGTGGCTCTTTTATGACTCATAGAAGCCATGGCCACCAAATTAAGCCGAGAGTGACTTTTGTTTATGAGACTAGAAAATGAAGGCCAATATGCCAATCATCAGAATCATTCAATGATATATATGCAAAAACATTGGAACGACAGTGGATTTTATAAGAAAGTTCAATGATTGATAAGACAACAAATAAATAGGTTTTAGCACAATACCAACAACATCATATTTACTCACATCTATCAATAATTCGGTGCTTATCCTAGACATGAGCATTATATGTTTTTGTTTAATTGAGATAAGATCTAGATCACTTATTCAATTTGGATAAGAATCATATTATTATGTTTATTTAAATAATTATATAACAAATAACTGAGTTTAATTAGCCATTAATTATTGGCATTCTACTGTACAAGTTAAGTAATAAGAAGTAATTAGCAATTGGCGATTGGCATATTAGACAGATACTGAAAATCACCACTGCAAATGGTAGGTGATAGAGTGATATTACATTTATCAGGAAAACATTACTCACTTCGTTCTTGTTTATAAGAGAAACTATTACATTTAGCTTTTTTTTTATATATATAAGCAAAATCATATTTTTCAATAAACATTTATTACAAATTTCTTAAATTACCCTTCATGATTTTATCATTCACAATTTTAAGAAATAATTGATGAAAACTTGATTGGCACAATTAATGAAAGGTATTTTGGTTTAAGTATTTTATTTTTAGACACAATTAATATAGTTAATTAATTTTTTTAAATTATATGATACAGCTTTTTTCTCCTACAAATAAAAATAAAGAGAGTATGTGTGTAGATTGGCACGTCAAATTTGGCATTAATCAAAGTTATGAGTGTAAAGTGCTTGAGAGATCTCTTGCCGTGGTGACATGCACCCTGGTTTCAATTTACTACTGTTATATAGTTTTGCTTGGGCTTATGCCCCGTTTACTAGTAATAAAAGGAGACTTTGCCCAATTGTTATTACTTAAAATTATCTAGGTTAGCCAAAAATCTAATGAATTTGTATAAACACTTATCTGAAAATTGTAATAAAAAAGAATCAATAAAAATGGATCAAACGAACTAAGAAAATAATCAAGAAAAAACATAATCATCAATCCATGTATTTTCATTATGTTTTGCTTTTAGTTCTTTCAATTGTTCCCAATGTTTTCGATTCTTATAGTTTTAACAAGATTATGTGACGTTTATTACTTAAATCTTTATAGTTTCAATGTCTTCACTTTTTATAAAAATTAAAAATACTAAAAAAACTACAGAAATTAAAAGAAAAATCTGAGAAAATTATAGAAATTAATGATTTTGTTTTCTTAATAATCAAATACAGGTTCAACTGATTCATATCTTTTAAAAAAAATTAATTTTGGTACAAAATGGCATTATTATTTTTTTGGATAAAACTTTTCTTGATTCAATATTATACTTATGTTGATTTTATATTTAATTAGGTACATTTTCTCATGCATTGCATGAAACTTAAAAAACAAGTCACATTAATATTGATTTGATTAATGCCCCAAAATAAAAGATTGATTAATAAATTATTTTTATTATTATGAGTGTAACTTATATGTATCATCGAACGCGACAGCTTTAATTGTAGTTCATGTATGTGTATATACTTTGGTGATTGAGTGTGGGATTTACATTCGTTGGATTTTCCATTGAAAAAAAAAAAAATATATATATATATATATAGAGAGAGAGAGAGAGAGATATGTGTGTGTGTGTTTTTTTTTTTAATGTGTTCAATGAATAGAGAGAGAATGCATATCTTCACTGTTCAGTGAAGAAAAAATTAAATACATTTAATATATGTACAATGAACAAAAATTTAGAAACGTTAATTAGTCTGCTAATACAGATATACCACAATATGATGACTTTGTGATGAGATAAAATATTGGCTAGCTATCTTATTCTACAATTTTGTAAAAATGTTATAATTTGATATATATATTAATCAATCAATATACTATATAAAATTAAGGTTATTTTTTATCACTATTTATGATTTTATCACAAATATATCTTGTTATGCAGTGTATGGGATAATAATGTAATACATGAAATAAAGAGTATCATGTACTACCAGCTAGCTGACTGTTGTCTTTGTGATTCATTGCTTGCCGCGAACTAATTGGGCATAGGTTCAATGCAAACAAATAAAAGGAGTTTCATATACTGAGAGTATATATGAATCTCCCTTAATATGTAAAAGGGAAAAGATAAACTTCTCACATTATTAAAATCGTTCATATGTCAAAGTTAAAAATCTGTATTTAATTGTTGTTCATAAAATATAATTGCACCGTGCAATTTATTTAGCTAATCACACTAAATAAAATAAGGCTCTTTTTTTTTTTAAGCCAGCAGTGATATAAGGTTTATTATCGTATAAGAGCTGTGAAAAATGAATCATCAACCACTTATCATTATGTTAAATCATATACAACAATGTTTATTCAACATTAAGCTAGATCAATCATATAATTTTCCACATTTTATATTTTTACTTAATTTTAAAGAATGCAAAATAAAAAATAAACATAATATCTTAATTGTCAGCTGTTAAAAAATAATGATTAAATAAAAAATAAGACAAACAAAACTGAAGTAATCCGGGTACAATTTTGCGCAAGGACCAAAAGGTCCAAATATTCAGGCAGAAGTCCCAACGATTGAATTAAATATTTCAGGGGACCATGGTCTTGGAGGGACAATATCTATTTGAGTGAAAATACTAAAATGCCCTTAAAGAGAGTAGCAATTTAAAAAATAAAAAGAAAGAAGAAACCGAGCAGGAGATCAAGCAACATTTTTCAAGCGCGGTTAGGAGAAGAGCCGCAGCTGTACAAAAAACCAACCCGACATGACATTGATCTAAACTGAAGTCTCATTTTTTTTCATAAAAAGATTGAGTTAAGTAACTCATGATTTAATCTAATCCTCATATAATATAAAGCTGAAAATTTTCAGATTGATCCAACAAGATTAGAAATTGATCATAGTTTTATCTAGTACTTCACTTTATTATTTTTTATTTTTATTTTGGAGATATAGCAATTTATTTTAACATAATAAACTTAATTAACATAATAAAATTACTTATAATCATATAAAATTTATCACAATAATAACAATTATAAATTAACAACAATCTCCAACAATAACGAAAAAATATTTTAATTACAATATAAATAATTCAAATTAAACAACATTAAACAATCTTTAATATATTTAGAGTACATTACATTAAATTTTACTCAATATTTATGACTTCACAAATATAAAACACAAAAAATTATTAAGTATTATTATAAATTAACTTATTATAATAATAATTAATAAGTTAATTATAATTATATTGAATAAATTTTTATGATCGGATCGGACTGAGTGATCTAGATGCTTCGATCTCTTGTCCAATTTAATATGAAAAAAAATCTGATCTTTTTGGTTCTTTTAGTTTTGAAAAATTAATTTTTATCCGGATGAAATAGAATCGGATTAGTCTTGAATTGGACAGGATCAAACAGGACTGAAGGATTTTTGTACAGGCCTAAGTGAGGGCATTTGAAGGAGGCTCGTCGCATCGTCGGTTAGTTTGGCAGTGGCGGCAGCGACGGAGATTTGTTTTCCGGTGAAATGACTGTGTTTGGTTTGCATCCCAACTAGATTGGGATGTAAAAAGCTCATTGGATGGTTGAAAGTTTTGTTTGGTTTAAAAAATTCTGAGAAGAGGGCTGGGGAGAAAAAGTGCTCTGGAAGTGAAGCTAAAGGAGAGAGCTTTTCTCCCACCACGCGTTCAGGTCTGCACATTTGCATCGGAAAAGTCAGACTTGTCCCACCTGTGGCCGTGAGTAGGGCTGAATGTGGAAGGGATCCCATCACCCCTGCTAGGCCCAATGTGAAGTTCGGTCGGCGCCCGAGCACTCGGTTAGGGATTGGTTGAAAGAAATTTTTACAAATATATTTTTAAAAATATATAAAAGAATTTCTTTCAAAAAACATTTATATATAATTATTATCATTTAAAATATATTTTTTTCCAGATTAAAAATATATTCTTTATAAAATTAATATTAAAATTAAAAGTAATGTTTTTAAATTACATATCATCAGCAATTGTCAATTTTTTTATATAATATTAAGTTAAAAACAAATTTTAAATTTTAAAAGAGATTAAAAATTGTAAAAATAAGAAATGTCCGAAAAATTCATAAAAATAATATAGTTTAATTACAGTAACTTTTAATAAAAATAATATCATAACATAAATTTTATTCACACAAAAAATATTTAAAAAAATAGCACATTCGGGTCAAGTCATCTATATTTGACCCTTGCCTGATACCTAACCCAATTTGGCCGAATGGCTCGGATAGTGCTGGCTTGATTAGGCTTTCCACAATGTGAATAACCCTACTTACAAGGCTGACACATGTTATTAGAAGATCTTTTTCGTTTGCTTTCACTTTCTAATTTTAACACCACTTATTTTGAGATTGAAGAAGAAATGAAAAAATAATAGAGACTTACTATTATTTTGTTTGATTTGCATAAAGTATATTTCTCTTATCATCTAATATTTAGTATTTTAATTTTATAAACTAAGCTCAATGTAAAAAATTTTGTTAATAAAGCCAACAATATTATGATTAAAAAATTAAAAAACACTTTATAGAATTAAAAAAATAAAATAAAATCTCGATAAGATTAAAAGTATAACTTACTCTAGTTATTTAAAAAGGAAAGAAATGATTAAAAGCATACTCAGTTGATTGCATTAATCACAACTCAATGCCAAGTAATTAAAAAGGAAATTTCAAACGAATCATCCACTCCAAAGGGCAAACGTCCCCTGATCACCCAATGGCCATTCACATCTTCTCACCCATCCGCCAGCAATTCAAAATTTAAGACACATCACAATTAAGAGCCAAGTCAAATTATTGAATTATTCAAAGCATTGTTGTTGTTCAATTCAAACATTGGA